ACCCTTTCCTCCCTAAGGTACTTTGGTCATTGTGTTTTATCACAGCAAGAGTAACCCCACTAAGACAATAACTATGCCCTTTCGGCTGATTAATAAATGTGTTTCTTCTTTTGTGGGGGGACAGGATCTCACTATGCAACTCTGGCTGACCTGGAATTCTCTATGTTGAACAGACTGGCTTCAAACTCAGAGATCCACCTGCCTCTGTCTCCCAAGTGGTGGATTAAGGATATGTGCAACTATGTCCAGCTTTACTACTGTTTCCTTAATCAAAATGTATGTTCTTGGCCTTTCCTTCTTCCCTATGGACTAGGCCAAAAGAGACACATTGGGCACTTTAACAGCCTTAAAGAGGGCTCTACAAATGTTACTAGCAGCAAGACCTTTTTGACCAAATCCAGCAACCAGAACCTCATTATCTTTCTCAAAAATATCTGAGCAGCTACCACTGGGTACAAAAGCCAGATCTCCAGGTCCCTCTTGATCCCCTGGATCCGCATATACTTCCTGCTAGAACTCAGTCCTTTGGCTCTAATCCCAGTTTCACCCACCATGATACCTTCTGCAGTCATTTCTCACTATGTGCATCAATATCAATTTTAATTCGAAGTTGTTTTATCACTTTTTATTTTACATGAACACAACGTCGTGTACGAGGGAAGTGCAGTGGGTGTATGTATGTGTGACTGTGTGTGTAACCCAGAGGGTCAGCTTTGGGTGTCATTCCTCAGGAGCCATCCATCTTGTTGTTTTTAAAAATTGTTTAATTATTCAATTAGGTCCCCCATACTCTCGCTGCCTCTCTCCACCTTCCTCTCTTCTCTGTATGTGTATGTGTGTGTGTGTGTGTGTGTGTGTCTGTCTGTCTTTTTTTATTAGAACACACATTGGACACATTATACATGTAGAGGTAAAAGAACAACTTGTGGGAGTCAATTCTCCCCTTCCATCGTATGGGTCCCCAAGGATGAGACTCAGGCTGGCAGATTCGGCAGCAAGCACATTTACCCACAGAGCTTGATTTTCTGAAGATTTATTTTCTTGGGGGCTAGAGAGATGGCTTGGTGGTTAAGAGCACTGACTGCTCTTTCAGAGGTCCTGAGTTCAATTCCCAGCAACCACATGGTGGCTCACAACCATCTGTAATGAAATACGATGCCCTCTTCGGGTGTGTCTGAAGACAGCTACAGTGTACTCACATATATAAAATAAATAAATCTTTTTAAAAAAGATTTAGTTTTGTGTGTATGTGTGTGTGTGCGTGTGCGCACACAGGGTCCACACATGCCACTGTGCTTCCATGCTACAGGACACGTGTGGAAGCCAAAGGACAACTATGTTGTCGAGATGCTTCTCTCCTCGCTCTTAACACTTCTCTGAGGGATCAAGCTTAAGTTGCCTGGCTTGCTTTTCCCCTTTAATTTATTAGAGGCATAATGATAACATTAACTCTCATTCCATTGTCTATCAGGAAGTCTGAAAACTTTGTTTTTACATTTTATTTGTGTGTATGTGTACTCAAGGGTATGTCAAGGCACACGTGGAAGGTCATCAAGCTTGAAGGGAAGTTTCAAGCCATCTCATCAGATCATTGTCTAAGGCAATCTTTATGGTCACATCTCCCCCACCCATAACCACTGTTGGGTTTTTCAATGACAATATTTGTAACATTAAGTGCCATGTTGTTGTTTTTCTAAATAGTTTATGGGGCTGGAAAGATGCAGAGGACCCAAGTTCTAGTCCTAAGACCCACCTCAAGCAGCTCACAACCACCTATACCTGTAGTTCCAGGAGAATCTGAGCCTCTGGCCTGCACAGGTACCCGCACACATGTGCACACACCCACACACAGATCCACACATGTATACATAATTTAAAAGAAAATACCTTTTAAAGGTTTATCTATCATGTCTCACTTTAAATTCTAGCTATTCTTAGGACAAGTAGTCTCTTTTAAATTATCATTTTCCCAAATCCTCTTTCTATCGTGCGTGCCCGTGCATGCACGTATGAGCTCACACATTTTTTTCCTTACTAAGTAACCCTTAAGCTTGATGAAAAAACATCTGACTTAATTAAAAATGTAAATTAAGGGCTGGAGAGTTGGCTCAGCAGTTAAGAGTACTGACTGTTCTTCCAGAGGTCCTGAGTTCAATTCCCAGCAACCACACTGTGGCTCACAATCATCTGTAATGGGATCCAATGCCCTCTTCTGGTGTGTTTGAAGAGAGCAACAGTGTACTCGGTACACTGTAGTCAGTGTACTCAGTACTAAAACTGTTGCTTAACAGATTTAAAAAAAAATTAAATGTGGTTAATTTTGTTACAAGATTGTGCAGAAACAGGTATTTTCTTATATTGCTGATGTCAGATTTAAATGACAAAAACCCTTGTGGTCAAGTGGTGGTGATGCATGTCTTTGATCCCAGCACTTGGGAAGCAGAGGCATGTTGGATCTCTGTGAGTTCAAGACCAGTCTGATCTACAGAGCAAGATCCAGTACTGCTGGTGCAAAAACCCTGTCTCAAAAAAGAAAACAAACAAACAGAAACTCTTGTGAAGGACTACGTGGCATATCTATCAATGTTTCAAACACATTTTCTTTCACTTTGTGGAATTTATCCTTGTAGAATTACATGCAAAGGGACAGAATTGCAGGTTATTCACTGAGATATATTTAGTAATCATAAAAAGTTAAAAAAAAAATTCACAGAGCTGGAGAGATGGCTCAGTAGTCAAGAGCACTATCTGCTCTTCCAGAGGTCCTGAATTCAATTCCAAGCAACCACATGGTGGCTCACAACCATCTGTAATGGAATCCAATGCCCTCTTCTGATGTGTCTGAAGACAGCTACAGTCTTTATATACATAAAGTAAATAAATATTAAAAAAATATATTCACTGTCTATCAACATGGAATTGGTTAAATAAACTCTCTAACTTCATATAGCTAAAAATAAGGTTTAAAATAAATGAAAGTTTAGGGGTGGTGGTGTACACCTGCCATCCTCCAGCCTGAGAGTTTTCTTCCTCCGAGAGGTGTCTACCTGGGGCAAGCAAGAGGATGGGAAGCTATATATTGTGTTCAAGGCCGACATGGACTGAGTCTATATAATACTGTCTGGAAAAACAAACAAAGAAGCAAAAAACAAACAAAGAAAAAAACCAAAAGAACACAAAAAGACAAAGCTCCCTAGTATCACATAAGTTATTCTTAATGTACTTTAAATGAAAACAAATGAAACTATGCACTGTATGTTCCTTTATATACAAACTAAACTCAGGAAAGATGTTCACAAAGCCAGCAATAGCACTTATATCTGTGAAATATGCCAGACTTGGTGGGGAAAGAGGGGTGTATCTTTTTTACGGTAAATTTCTTCTTCTTTTTATTTTTGTTATTTGTACATGTCTGCTGTGTGTGCCTTCTGCAGACGTCAGAAGAGGCCCTTGGGTCCCCTGGAGCTGAAGTTACAGATGCTCTAAGCTGCATGCTACAGGTGTTGCACCCCAAACTCAAGTCCTCTGGAAAAGTAGCAAGAGCTCTTAACTACTAAGCTATCGCTCTATCCCCCAAGATAAACATCCTTTTATTTAAAAAAAAAAAAATCTTTTGAATCAACTTTTTATATGATTAAGAAAATGTAATCATCTACCAGGTCTGGTGACTCATTCCTTTGATTCTAGCACTGGATAGACAGAGGCAGGAGGATCTCTGTGAGTTCAAGGCCAACCAAGGCTACATAGTGAAATCAATTCTCAAAACATAAGCAAAATATTTATCCAGAGTTGTATTTTATTTTAAAAGTGTATGGTACATTCATATAATGAAATGTTATCCATCCATGTAAAGAAATGAGTTATCAAGTCACAAAACAATAAGGAGAAACCTAAACATCTACTGAAACACGAAAGAAGCCCGTCTGAAGAGCCCATACACTGAAGGGCTCCCATTATTCTCAAAGCGGCAAAACTATAAAAGTCAGTAAGATCAGTGGTGGAAAGGAAAGGGACAGGGAGAGGGATGAATGAATGGGTGATGCACAGAGGAGTCTTAGGACAATGAAATGATTGTTTTACATCTTGTGAATATATGAGAATATGAATTTGACTAAGTCCAGAAAACTAAACAACACAAAGAGTGATCCTAATGTAACTATAGGCTGTTGGCAATCACACTGAGCTAATATTCAGTTGCAAAAATGTACCAGACTAACACAAGAAATTAATAATAGAAGTTAAACAGAAGATACGGGGTGAGGGGAAGAACTCTACTATCAGCTCAGTCTTCTATAAGTTTAAAATTCCTCTAAATGTTTAAGTCTGTGAATTTTTAAATGTGTATGTGTGCATATAGGTATATACACAAATGTGTGCAGTAAATGCCTTACACACTCACTGCAGGGTGCTTAACAAAGTACAGTACTTTAGCTCGAGAGCAAGTCAAGTTCTGCAGTGAGGAAATCTGATCCTAATACTATCTAACCGTATGGTCTTACACAAGTTGTTTCTTTAGCCTTAGTTTCTCCATCTGTAAAGTAGAAAACACAGCAATCCTTTCTAAGAAAATGGTGCATGCAAAATGCTTACCACGTGCAAAATGCCTAATGAATATGAAAAGCTCGAAATAACAGCGCACTATGAAGGCAAAATTATTATTCACAAAATGACTAATGTCACTTCAGATGCCAAGTTTGCTTCAATACCAACCTATCAATAATAGCCTTGTTTAGGGCCTCAGATTCTTAATTGTGTAACTTAAAATGCAATCCTCATTGCCTAAGAGCCAGTCCATATAATTCAGTCATTCTTTACTTCATAAATGTTATTTTTCATCCCGGTTTGGCCCTAGATTACAGGCTCAGGCCCTAGAACCCCTTCTTTCTGTCCCTCCGGTCCCATCCAGGCCCGTTACCATCAGGCTCCGCCCCAGTCTCCTCCTTACTCCTTCCCCTAACTCATTACTCCTTTCTTTTCCCGAAGATGAAAGAAGCCCCTACCCAGATACTCGTAGTCCGGTAGAGCTAGGCGCTCGGGACTCAGCATCCTTTAACCGGGTAGTTTCCACGCTCCAGCTTTCTTCTTCCGGAACCCAGGTTACAGCCTGTCTCTGTTGCCATGGCACCATGCGGCCAGAAGAGAACTAGAAGGCTGAGAGGGTGTCACGTAAACAAGTCCCCGACTGGCAACGTGGAGCCTATCACACAAGTTCCGGAGGCAGTCGCTTAGAGTCTGTTTTTCTTTAACTCCTACTTTTAGGACTTGGTTTTAGAAGCTCTGAAGTAAATCCTCTGAATGTGTCGAATTTTTTGATGCTGAAGAATTACCATCAGCGGCTCATATCCGCAATTTCTGGATTTCATAATTTCTGTTTACCCTAATGATAATGATCATGTATGGCCCCGCATAACACTGACATCTCATTATCTATTATTAATCACTTTTAGGATTTACTCTCTCAAGTTGGTACAAAACGTTCTTTGTGTCTTAGCAGCTTGAGGTCAGGGGCATGTCTTTAGCCTCTAACAGGGTTAGATACATAGAGGTACTCACTGAAGGCCTCTGAGTACAATCCAAGAGACCCCATATGGTGAAAACAGAGTACCAACTCCTTCAAATTGTCCCCTGACCTCCACATGTCCCCTGTCCCAAATATATATCTCAACAGGGTCTCACTGTATTTCCCAGACGGGCTTGGAACTTGATTTATAGACCAGGCTGACCTTGAATTTAAGAGATCTGCCTGCCCCTGCAGATCCCAGAGTTTTTAATGTTTTAAAGGTGTGTGCCCTTACACCCAGTAAAACGTAATTTTAAAAACTATTCACCAAGTCCTATGTAAGTTAATGACCATTCCTCTCAAATTCCTTTTAGCCACTAGAGCCTACTTCTACTCCTGTCCCTTGGTATTTGACATCTTGTCCAGGTAGCTTTCCTTTTTCCTAAAAAGACACTTCACTTCTCAAAAGAAATGGATCAGAAAACAAGACATTTATTACATATCCTCAGCTGTACTCTTTTTAAAGAAGAAAGACTATTCCTTTCTTTTCAAATAACTAGATTTTTTTTTTTATTTTGCTCCTCCCTCTGTGCAAGAACAGGAAAGAGGTCTGTAGCAGTTGTTACAGCCCAAACCTAGCAGGAAAAACCACTCGCTCCTCACTTGTCTTGTTTTGTTTTGTTTTGTTTTGTTGGTTTTTTTAAAAAGTAAGCCCCTCCCCTTCAACAAAGGAGAAGTTTTTTCAAGAGGAGAGGTTTTGTGACAAAGAAAGAAAACAAAATTTGTGTCATTAAAGGAGTGACTGGGAATCCCACAGACCACCTACACTGGAAGAAGAAAAGAGGAAGATCTTCTCTTATGTTCTAAGTGGCCTATTCTTAGTGTCCTCCAACAAGGAGCTACTCGAACCTTGTAATTCTCCCTTTCCCTTAAATTTGTGTATGTGTCTCAATTCTAGGCTCCTGTGAGTCACTCTGAATTTGTATGTGGTAAGGAGAAAGGGACAGAGCCACACGAAGAGCAGTGTTTGGTGTTCTAAGGTAATGAATTTTCCAGGTTGGGAGTTGATATAAAGTCCTGCAAACTTTGTTAAAAATAATTGCCTTCTCCTTCCTCCACCACTCCTCCATATGGATATAGAAATTTAAAGATTTTTTTTCATACTTGGGCTTATTACTGTAATGTAAGTAAAGTAATAATAAAATTTTAAAAATTGAGATAGGGTCTTATATGTCTCAGGCCGGTCTGTAACTCACTAGGTAGCCAAAGATGACCTTGAACTTCTGATCCCCCTGCCTCCATCTCTGGATTGCTAAGATTATAAGCATGTACCACCAAGTCTGTTTTATTTGGAGCTGGTATGGAATGCAGGGTCTTTCTTCATCCATGCTAGACAAACATTCTATCAACTGGCTACAACCCTATCTCTAGGATGGTAATTGTTAAGGCTAACCATTTTATCTTACTCCGAGGCAATCTGATTTTCAGATATTTTCATGTGTCCTCATGAAAACTAAGGCAATTCTCCTTTTTCTAAGTAGAACTGAGGCATGGGTCATAAAAAAAGGACTTGCTTAATATCATCCATCTAGCCAGTGGGAGGGCTGGAAGTGGATCTCCACTATATCAACATCCAGGCTAGTGGTCTGACCACTAAACCACACAATCTTTTTTAGGGATTGTTGGGTTGGTGTTTATTTATTTCTTTTTCTTTTTGTTCTCTCTTGCTAGCAACGGGGAGCTCCCAGATAAAAGCAGAAAGTTTTTAATTCAGGCTACACACTTGACATCCTCTTATTTGTGGAACATTATCCTGGGACTTGGAGGGTACTGCTACTGGGGTCTGTGTGGTGAAGCTGGGAACCAGCCCCAAGAATAGAGCTTTGTTTGGGCATTAACCCATTTGCGGTTATAATAATGATAAGTTTCAGCACCAGTGGCGCCTGACTGTTAATGACTCAAAAAAAGCTAAATAAGAACAAGATGTCATCGCTGGAGAGATGTGTAGGTCTTTTCTACAGTTCCACTCCTTCTATTAAAGTCCCAAGGATCCACTCTGAGTGCTCTAGACACTGTATTGGTAAGAAAGCCTAGAAAGGACAAGAGGTTACTAGTCTAGAGCTTTAGATATCAGGGGTTTCATAGAAATATTGACTATTCCTAGTGGTGGAATTACTGACTATGTCTTCTTTCTTTGTATTTTTTCTACATCCTTCAAGTTATCCATCTATTAAGAACTGAAAACAAACAATGGTAAGTATAGTGACTTTTCTGATAGTGTTTGTGTTTCCAAGAAGAAGCCACTGATTTTTGGATTTCTCTTTGGTCACAGATTACATAGATTTTTGACAACACATATATGGTAGATGAATTTTTCAATGAAACATGCACATTAGTTTTTAGAATAGAAATGAGAGCTGGAGAGATGGTTCAGCAGTTAGGAGTATGTACTGCTCTTGCAAAGGAACTGAGTTCAGTTCCCAGCACCCAACTGGGAAGCTCACAACCTTGTATAATTCCCCCATCAGGTGATCTAGCATCCTCTTCTGGGCTTTGCAGGCATCTGCAGGTATACACACACACACACACACACACACACACACACACACACTTAAAAATATATATTAAATTTTAAATAAATGTATAAAAGAGTTCTATAGGTATGTATTTTTGTGATCTAGTTGTGTGTTAGTGAAAAATGTATCAGCCCTCAATTTAAGTGGATTTTCAGGTCCCTATATTATAACATATTTCTAAAAATTTACCAAAACAAATAATCACTTAGAGAAACCAATCAACCAAAAGATGATTCCACACTCCTGAAAAAACAAACAAACAAGCAAAACAAAACAAAAAAACTATGTCACAGGGCTAGGTAAAAAATGGCTCAGTAAGAGCTCTTGCTGACTTCAGATCCCTAACACCCATGCTTTTAGAAATGAGCATGGCTCCATGTGCTTTTAATCCCAGTACTGGGTGGGCCAAAGTGGGGACAACAGGATCACTGGGTCTTACTGACAACCGGCAGAAATGAAGTACAAGCAAGCTCCAGGTTCAGTGAGAGATTTTGTGTCAAGGGGACAAGGTGAAGAGCAATAGAGGTGTATATTTTTTGTCCTTCTCTGGCCTCCATAAACAGAAGCACATACAATACCAGCCTACAAGACCAGATGTGTCCACTTCTGTGAAAGTAGCATGAAGACTATGGAGACAACCAACCCCTCACTGGCTGGACTGGAGACCTGCTGCACAGCAGAGAATTCATGGCTTGGGAGGTCATGGACCCTAGGAACAGTTCCTACTAATGTTGTTCTGCTAAACGGACAAGTTGCAAAACTGCCTTCTAAAGAGGGGGCAGAAAGAACGTAAGCCAAAGGCTGGCAAAGAACGCAGTGAAATAAGGGCTTTGTGAACTTACTGAAGTTCTTGTTCCTGTTCAAGTCCTGTCAGTGAACATTCCAGCAAGCAACCCTAAATGAGACTCAGTAGCTTACAAAAATAAAGGATACAAAAGACATGAACATGGAAAGAGGACACACTGGGGAAGTCTGAGGAGGAGAATTGGGTGTGGATGGGATCAAGATACATTGCATACATGTATTAAAAAAGTAAAAAGAACCAAACACTGGAACAGGTTCTTCCCATAGGACAGAATGAAGACACCAAGTCTAAAATAGAGAAACACCCATGTTGAGACATACTGATTTGTCAGCTTATTGCACTATAATGTCTGATCGTATAAAGAGAAAATTTATAGATATGTTTGGGTCTGTAAATGACCTAGTAAGGGACTGATAAAGAAGAACAGTGAAGACTACAGAAAAGTAAACACATGGGTTTTTAACCTCAGGGAAACAGCAAGGAAAGAAGAAATGAAAGTGGGATTATTGCACTACAAAACAGGTTCGAGAAACTGATGTGCTCTTTGTCAGTTAATCAGGCAGAAAGATGCTAAAGGCAAAATAGCCACTAAGAAATTCAGGTCATGAAGTGCGTGCTGAGCTGCTGGGCAATTCTTGGAAGACATAAAGCTTGCACAAAGCTTAGTGGAGGCTAAGGACTATGCCACTGCCTCAGATGAAACATATTTACATTTTTAAAATGCTATGTAATCATTTTGAATTGCCACACAAATCAACAGACCAGAGTTCTGGGGGAATTTTCAAGTAAAAAGAAATTTTCATGCCAGGAACATTGTTGAGTATTGATTGGCACATGCCTTTAATCCCAGCCCTCAGAAGGCAGAGGCAGGTAAATTTCTGAGTTTGAGGCCAGCCTGAGCTACATACTGAGACTGTCTCAAAACAAACAAACAAACAAACAAACAAAAAGAAAAAAAGAAACAAAGAAAAGAAAGAAATGTCTTTAAACTCTTGGGTATTTAAGAATCAGTAATGCTTTATACGCAGTTAACATTGCTTAAATTTAACTGGAACTAAAGACAATTAGACTTTTGTCTTCTTGCTCTTTCATATTTTCAAAGGCTACAAAAAATTGATAATTATATTGTCAATCCCTTGTAAGAGAAGGGAATTTCTGCTTCTCCTCCTTCTAGACAGGGTTTGGTTGTTTAGCCCAGGCTGATCTTGAACTCAGATTGTCCTAGCCTCAGCCTCAGAGCTGGGATTACAGGTATGTGTCATCTCCACTTTTAAAGTTATTATTGTTGCTATTACTCTTAAAGTCCTGTGCTAGAATGTACGTTCCTTAAAGGTTGAGGCTGTCTATCTTCATTCATCTCTAAACATCTAGGGCTGTTCACAGTGTCTGCCAGAAGGCAGGTGCACAATAAATGCCTGATAAACACATTAGCTTCCTTATAGACTGTAAGCCTGAAGAGCAAAGGTCATTCAATCCATGGGATTTACGGTTGCCTCATAGCAAACAGTTCATAAAACAAATTGATTTGGTAAAAATGGCCCCCAAAAGGAAGGTACTAATTGATGGTGATGGCACATGCTTATAGTCATAGCTATTGAGAAGCCTGAGGCCAGAGTAAGCCTTGAGACCAAGAGTTCAAAACCAGCCTAAGCAACACAGTGGAATTCCACGTCTAAATAAATAATAAAAATAAAGATGAAAAACATCAAAACTCAACCAGTGAGCTGTGGATGTAGTCAATTGGTAAAGTGCTTTGCCTAGTATGTGAGAAGCCCTGGATATTCTCCCCACCCCCTTTCCAATGCTGAGACTGCAACCTAAGGCTTGTGAATGCTAGGTAAGCACTGTATCACTCTGTTACCCTCCCCCACCTCTCCTCCATGTTTTATGTCTGTTAACTATACATTCTACTAGATCTAGGCTAAACATCACCACTGCCAGTTCCCCCAGAGGTCAGTTACCACTTGATACGTACCTGTATTTCCAGGTTTACTGTACTATTTGTTTGTACCTCTTTTTATAGACTGAATTAAGACCAGCAAACACACACACACACACACACACACACACACACACACACACACACTATTAAAACTATTCCCTGCCCAGAAAAGCAAGTTAGATATTCAAGATAAAAATGAATGATTTAAACTTGAAATTCATAAATATAACACAAATTTTTAACTAAAAATTTTGTTAGCTCAGTGGTAAAGCACTTGTTAGTATGCACAAGGCCCTAGATTCTATCCTTAGCATCCACTGCCAAATACATGCACACAAATGGAGGAACAGACAGAGAAACACAGAGAGACTGACACAGAGACACAAAGAGCCAGGCATGGTGGATATTCACGGAATCCTAGCACTTCTGAGGTGAAAGCAGAAGGGTCAGGAGTTCAAAGTCTTTCCTGGAATCATGGAGAGTCCAAGGCCAGTTGCTTGAGATTTCATCTAAAACAAACAAAACCCACAAAACCACACATACACACACACACACACACACACACACACACACACACACACACAATGCCAGTAGCTGGAAGGTTGACCACAAGTTCTAGGCCAATCTGGGCTACATAGCAAGACTCTATTTCAATCCCCTATCTCTCTCTCTTTCCCTCCCTTTCTCCTTCCCTGTCTGTCTCTGTCTCTAGCTCTGTCTCTCTCTCACACACACACATACACACACACACACTCTCTCACTCACACACACACACACACACATACATCAGAAAAAAAGGAATTTCAACAATAAGATTTTGGGGATGGAGAGGTGGCTAGGATGCTTTTCCAGAGGATTGGAGTTTGATTTCAAGTACTTATCTGTCCATATGGCTGCTCACAACCATCTATAATTCCAGTTCCAGGGAAATTGACACTGTCTTCTGGTCTCTTCCAGCACTGCATGCATTTAAATACACATTTAAACCTTAAAAAGCAATCTCACTTTATATTTTGCAAGAACTTAGTAAATGTTCATAAAACAAACCTGATATATATATATATATATATATATATATATATATATATATGATATGATATTTAATTGAGAAACAATTATTTTTTAGCAGTAGCTGATTAAGATCTCGGCCTTGGTTTTCCCTAGACACAAAAGACTATGGATCAGTCGTCAGATGTGGTAGACACTTTGGATCTTTTTGGTTCTGTTTATGACACCTATCCTATCTGGATTATGTCTCCTTTCTTTACCCAGCAAAAATATCCCCCATAGTCAATGTCGAGCTCCCTCACACTCACAGATAGCCTTCTCTCTGTTTTTATGGCCTGTGTACATACTTCCATCACAAATCTTCCTCTCCATCAGGTTCCAAGCATCTTTGAAGCTGGGAATCCGCTCTTACTTTGCTCTGCCTTTTCCATACTTGGCAGACCATCTGGTTTTTATTCATTTATCCAAAAAGAAGTGTTGAGCCATATGCGGCAGGCACAATTTTAAGGTACTAGAGAATAAAATAAATAAGACCCCACACCATTAGAGCTGGTTAGTCAATAGCTTGGAAGGAGACAGTAAACACAAAACAACAAACAAGCCCTATTTCCAAGACTGCTGAGGGCTGCAGCAGAAATAAGGCAGGAAAAGGGTGGGGGTGGGAGGCAGACAACTGCCGTGGTAACCCGAGGCATCTCTGAATCTGTGATGCTGAACTGAGATCAGCCAGAGGATGCCTATGGGGAGACAGCGTGTGAAGTAGAAGACGTAACACACGTGAAGTTTCTGTGACAGCAGTGATGGCCTCCTTCAGAGTTGAAGGAATAGCTCTGTGGTCAGAACACAATGAGGGAAGGGAAGAGCAGGAAGAGATCAGTGAAGAGCCTTGAAGGGCAGGAGAAAAGGAAGGGCTTTAGGACTTGGTATGATTAGAGTTATCTTTTTTAAGGAGCTCACAATGGTTGCTTCACAAGGCATAAATTGTGAAGGGCCACTCGTGGAAACAGAGACCATTTACACGGATGTTTGACTTGTTTTTTGCTATTGAGCAAGCCCTTTATCAGTCTAGTTATCCACCACTCTAAATTTATCTTTGTAGCTACAATAAACAAGCTCCTCACTTCGAAGGCTCTGAGCTATCTGTGTCAGGTGTGTGAATATCAAGCTTGCAGGAGATAAAAATGTTCTACAAAGCCCCACCTTTCAGGGTGTGCCCCACGTTAGGTCAGGGTATAAAATCAGCCATATGCCCCAGGTCCTGGCTCAAGTTTCACTGCTGAGCTAGGGGGAAAAAATGCGGGCGCTGGAAATGATGCCAGAAAGCACAGAAGCTGAAGTTGGACGTGGTGGCACATGTCTGTAATGCCAGCACTCTTGGGAGGTGGAGGCAGGAGAATTAGGAGTTCAAAGTCATCTTCAGTTGCATGATGAATTAAAGTAATAGGGGCTATAAGAGACTCCTACTAACCCAAAGCCAAACTAACATACAAGCAGAGGGTTGCAGAAATACTGTCCTCTGAGAAGTCCACTGTTCCTGGTATCTAGTACATGCTTCTGCCTAGTTTGCTTTCTGTTGCTGAAATAAAACTCTGACCAAAACCTATTTGGTGACCAAAGAAAGAGTTTCTTTGGCTTACAGATTACAGTCAACCATTGAGGGAAGCCAAGACAGGAACTCATGACAGAAACTAAAGCTGAGACCACAGAAAAACAACACTGCTTACTGGCTGACTCACTTTGCTTTCTTATGTAACTCAGGACTACCTGTCCAGAGTGACAGCACCTGTAAAGGCTAGGCCCTCCTCATCAATCATTAACTAAAAAATAAAAATAAAAGAAAAAAAAGATTCCCTCTTCCCAAGTAATTCAAAGTGATTTAAAAAAAAAAAACTAGCCAACACCTCTCCCAAACATAAATGAAAGCTCCATCATTTTTATGTTTATGATACTTTTTCCAATTTTTTTTCAAAAATTATCTCTAGGGCTGGAGAGATGGCTCAGTGGTTAAGAGCACCATCTGCTCTTCAAGAAGTCCTGAGTTCAATTCCCAGCAACCACATGGTGGCTCATAACAACCTGTAATGGGATCTGATGCCCTTTTCTGGTGTCACTGAAGACAGCGACAGTGTACTCACATAAAATAAATAAATCTTTTTAAAATAATTATTTCTCTGTGTATGAGTGTTTTGCCTGCATGTGTATCCATGCATTAAGTGCATTCCTGGTGCACACAGAATCCAGAAGAGGTCATTGGATCTTCTAGGACTGGAGTTATGGATGGTTATAAGCTACCATGTAGGTGCTGGGAATTAAGCCTAAATCCTTAAAAGAGCAGCCAGTGTTCTTAACCACTGAGCCATTTCTGAAGCCTGTGATACTTTCCTATAAGTTCCATGGATCTTTCCCTGGCTCTGGGCCTTTGCACATACTGTTCCTTCTGCTCCAGGAGACCAACCTCAGCTACTTGCAACCAATGACTCCTTCCTTTTCCTCCTTATTGTTATGATCTAATCCAGTGCATCATGAATGCTAGACAGTGCTCTACCACTGAGTGATATGCTCAGCCTCTCTAATGACACCCTAGGTGTTAATATTTCTAACAGGCTTTCCTCAAACCTCCAAATCTAAAGCCGGTCTCTTGTGTCATAGAACCCTGTGTTTTCCTTTAATCCCTCTATTATTTAACTTTAAATTCATTTCTGGGATAATTCTTGTATTGCAAACAGAGTCCCTTGGGACCATTAGATTATAAATTCCAGAGATCCCAATAGATCTGTTCACCACTGCCTCCACAGTACCTGACACAAGCCATCCTTAGTGAATAGATCGCTGTGGGGATGAATATGAAATAGGCCTATAGTAGATAGTTATAGAACCAGCCTCTTAGTGTTTTACACTGTATTCCAGGCTAGCCTAAGAACTTGGTGTGTAGCACAGATCAGCCATCAATTTGCAAGTCCTCTTGCATCAGCCTCCCTAGTGCAATAATAGGCATAAGCCATCACACCAGGACTTTCCCCCTCCATTTGTATTGCTTTCAATAAGATAGTGAGTTCACAAAGATGAGGAAGCTCATTTGCATCTTGGAGTTCTCAGTCTTATAAAGAGTTTCCCAAGCTCAGCACCACTTACTGGTTAGGCTGACCATTCTTTCTTATCAGGGAGTATCCTGTTCATTATAGGATGTTCACCAGCAAACTTGGATTCGCGAGATGCCAATGGTACCCACTTTCAAAAATGCCTACAGCTGCTACCCCATGCTTGCAAAGCCACTCCTGATTTAACATCTTCAAACTTCAAACTTTTATCACTTTTAGAAGAATTGTACTTAGAAATTAAATTGTTGAGTGGTGCCTGGGTTACAAGAATTCTCCGTCCCAAGTTGGATCAAAACCGTACCCGCTTCCAGCTTGTTTCCGTAGCACCCCCCCCACACCGTATTTCCTTTGAAAGGGTCATTAGTGATGGTGTGGTGCAAGGCAATATTGTGATCATGGAAATTCAGCTCCCTGGATTGCCCTAGAAGGATGAAGGAAAGGGGCTGGTGTTTCTGAGGAAACCAACGCCTCTGAGACCCCTCGGGAATTGGCAGTTCCCTACCAATTTTCTAGGGGCATGTCCCAAAGGACAATAAAGGGAGACAAACAGCCCATTCTGGCATGGTTTTCAGGATCTCTCACTCCAGACAAGAAAGTCTGAGAGGCCTGGTAAAAATAAATATGGCTTACTCCTGCTGGCATAAGAACAGTTTCTGACAGCCAAGACTTAACTCACCCTAGGGGGTGACCCAGGCAGGAACTATGCAAAGTTAGTTTCTACCCATTGATATTCCCAGGGATTCACAGCACCAAGGATGGCTCCGTACACCAGTACCATCATGGCAAAGGACCTGGGACGCACATTGAGAAAGCAGTTTCTCTCTCTCTCTCTCTCTCTCTCTCTCTCTCTCTCTCTCTCTCTCTCTCTCTCTCTCTCTCTCCTAGTCAGACAGGGACTGCCAGTCCCCTGCTTCCTTTCCAGTCCCAGGAAAACAACACAAATCATTCCTCTGGAAAGAAATCTGTCCTTTGCATACAGAGTGGAAACTGTTCATAAATTCTTAATCCCCTGACATTGAGAGTATGGGGAACGTCTGTCTTGGATTTCTTTCGGAGGTGGGGACCAAATGTATTCATTGTATCAGATCCCTAGTAGTCACTTGGAACAAAATATAGTCCCCAGAATCACAAGATCTTTCTCACAGGATTAAAAAGCCAGTCTTCCTAAGCAGCATGTATTGAAATCCGAAGACCAATGGGGAATTGAATCAGAAAGGTAGAGGCAGTTGAGGAATCGCCTTCGTGTTTCTCTCCTTGGACATCAGACTAAAGTGACTGACCTCGGCACCTAAGCAAGACAAATCCACTCTTTCCTAAGCTCCCAACCTGTGTAAACCTCATCTGATTCGACTGCCGCCTTCAGGTTCCAGGAAGAATTACACAGCCAGAAAATGTCTAGGCATTAGTTACCATGGTGATGCACGAACTTGGTTCAACCAAGTTGCCATCTATAGATAGGCAAACTTTTCAGGGGCAAGGGGAAGGGAGGGAGAGCATACAGCACGGACTAAGTTAATATCACATTTTTCTGTTATTGTAGCTTTCACAAAGTATGCTTAATGTTAGCTTTGGTCAGAGATGGCAACTTAAAACGAAAATTTTGAAAAATGGAAAACAAGCAAGTATGAAATGTCAACCTATCCATTTGGAGAAATTACCCGATATCCACTTTGCACTATACCAAATTACTTCTCTCCCAGCTAAGTCCAGGATAAGATGATTAAAAGCCAAACAATGTTGGCAGGCCAGCTCTGAGGGGAAAGTGAATATATCAGGCCCTAAGAAAGTTTGGGGGTGGGGGGGAGTGTAAGCAAAAAGCAACAAAACAACCCGGGAACACAGGAGGCAGCAAAATGAACGAATACCTACTAGTATAGAGGGAGGAGGGGAGGGATGACCACAGAGATAGCACTGAGAGTGGATTAGAAGTTTATGTAGTAATCCAAACGTTTCATATTGCTGAAAAGTCCTACAAACAGGACTTTTTTGAAAGAAGCCGAAGGAAGGCCGAGGTCTTGAGGGAGTGTTATTTCCTTACCCCCTACCCCTTTCTTGCCAGGATCAGAAAGTCAAGGATAGTGAGGAGGCTAACAATGCTGATTTACAGACAGTAAGGAAGAACTGAATCTGTCTGAGCCAAATCTGGACATTTGAACTGGGGCGGACAGGACCTAGACAACCTTACCTCAGGAAATGAGCAAATGAAAAGGGAGGTCGCAGAATTATTTAGCTCTAGAACAACACTGCCTAGATCGGGGGAGGGGCCAGGGTGCAAGAAGAAAAACTTCAGAATAAGGAATTTTGACAGTGAGAACACTAGTTAAGACACAGCACTGTAGGCCCCCTGATGTCCCTTGTTTGATGTCAATAAAGGCCGAGAGAATTATGCGCTAACAAGCCTTGCATATTTTTGAAACATTACAATAAAGTCTGGAGTTGGAGCTGGTAGGGGGGCCAGGGTCACTCCCAGGCGACTTGGGTCAGCACGGGTGCTCCTCCCTAGTGTGGAACTAGAATGAACCCAGGTTGAGAGTTGCCACTAGGATAATTTTCTGTTTAAGCTGGGGATATTTGAGTAGCAGTAACGGGGACAGATAAGGGACTCTCTCCGGAAGGCTAGGAATGTTAGGGCAGACTGAGTAGGAGCTAGGGCGAGCGCAGGAGGCACTGGCGGGTGGGGTCCTGGGACTGGGGGGCGAGGGCAGAGGGCGGGAAGGGGCCGGGCCAGAGCCGGGGGCGGGACCAGGCGCGGTGGTGGTGGCGGGGGCCGAGGCGCGGGAGGCGGGGCGGCCAGGATCGGGACACCCCCTCCCGGTCCCCTGGCGGGGCGGCTTCAACTCCGGCAGTACTGGAGGCAGCAGCAGCCCGGAGGGCGACTTGCAGGGCGCGCCGGCCGAGCTGGACTCGGGACGCTTTTCACCCCGGGGGAACCCTCCGCTGATTCTCTCGGCCTCGGCGTCCCTTGGGAGCCCGCGGGACCCCCGGGCGGGCAGAGAGCGCCGGCGGCGGCTGCAGCACCATGAGGCGGTGGTGGGGCGCGCTGCTGCTTGGCGCCCTGCTCTGCGCACACGGTAAGCGGCGTCGCAGCGCCCGCACCGACCGGGCCACCAGGAAAGTTTGTCCCTGAGACTGGTCGCTGCAGGACTCGCCTCCTGGGAGTGGGACCGCGCAGGCTGGGGCCTGAAGTCCCACCCTCGAGCTCACTTCGAGCAGTAACCCTAGCAGAATGTGCGGAGGAAAGCAATAAGGAGCTCCTGAAGCTCTTCCAACAGAAGAGGAGACAGCAGTGGAGGGACTCGTCCCCTCTGTAGTCTGGGCCGGGTCGGAGAAGACCCAAGACGCTCGCTCGGCTTCCATCGCTGCTCTTTAACGAGCCAGGGGCTGGTTCCCTTTCAGGTTAAGGCAGGGCTTCTGTGTCCCTGGTGCGTGCGAATGAATGTGTGCAAAGAAAGGAAGGCGGGGAGGATGGTCACTAAACCCATAAATTGTGAATAGTTCTCTTTTCAGGGTCTGGGGGAATCTTGTGTGGATTGCGGAGAGGGGCCCAGCTGAGTTACTTGAGCATTCGGGATTCATGGACTTGGGGAGCAATTCCTCGGACTCCTAACCCTCTTCTCTCTGAGGGTCCTTGGTTCATATTTGCTTGCAGCATCTCCCCTAAGTGGAGTTTTGGGTTCCCTCTCCTGGCTGCGGCCAATCAGCTTCCTGCCCCGGATCCTCCCCAAGGGAGGGGTGGGGAACAGCGATGGAAAAGAGGTTGGGGAGGAACTTTGGGAAGAAACTGCTGGAAGGCTCCGGCAGATCGGTTCTGGCCCGGGTAAAGAGCAGGGGCGCGTTCTTAGGGAACTTCCAAAGGCAGCCTCTCGGCCCGTGCAGTGAGGCCTTGGCCTCCGGGGAGCTGGGCGGATGGCAGCGGCACTGCTGCTTCATCTGCTCCTTATTAATAACGTGTTCGGTGCCCGGACGCAACTGTTGTGTCTACTTAGGACTGCAGTGGAATCTGCCTCTCTGCATCCGCTTGGGAACGTGGGTGCACCCTGAGATTTAGCAGCTGCCTCTTAGTTTGTGCCCAAAGATCAAAGATCGATCTTTGAACTCTTAACTATATTCACCCGCTGGCTTTTCCACGTGGGGGAGATCCAGTTCTTCGATTCCTCGGGCTGCAGGACGAGGGGGTGGGGTTCAGAAAGAGCGATCTGCAGACCCTGGCGATTCTCGGGTTCTTTCTTTCACATGGAGGAGCTTGTGTGGAAAGTGCAGATTTCGGAACTTGCCTGGCAGGGTGTGGAGCTGTCTGGGCGCTTGTTTTAAAGATTGTTTTAGCTCCCGAATCCAAAACAGAGTTCTGGTGTCTGTTATTTAAACTACTCGTGGGTTTTCAATGGCTTTTTCCATGTGGTATCTAACGCCGACCTAGTCCTTTCTCTCCGAGTGGTAGCCTGACCGACCCACGTTCCTCTTCGCGCCTCGCTCTCCCCCTCCCGGGCTCTCTCCTCGAAGGTTATTTGTAGCCTCTTCGGCGTGTTGGGACAGCAGCCCTACTGGGGTAGGAATGTAACTGTTCTTCCCACCACATGGGCCCCTTAAAGGGACAGCTATGCTTTTGGGGGGTTTCCCCCCTTCGGGTTTCAAGGGAAGGGGATGGAACTTTCCTCTCGGCCCCCTGGAGGAAGTTTTGAAAAAGATCAAGGGAAATAGCTAGGCACTAGGAAAAGGAGGGGTGGGGTGGGGGCTAAAACGGATACCAACAAAGCCAAAGAGGAGATTGTCGCCTTCTGCCCCAGGGAAGGGGGAGCTGGAAGGTTCCGGACTGAGACTGGCCAAGTGGAATTCACTGCTCCAGAGCTGCTGTCAAAATTGCGTGCCTTACATCTGCAATGGAGGATGGGGGTGAGAACAGGGGCAGAGAATCGTGGATTCTTAATGTTTTGCAGAAACAAAAAAGGAAAGCATTAGAGGGTTCTTGGTGGCTAGTTTAGGTCCATTTTTAAAGGAAAATGTTTAATAGAAATTTCTAAGTTGAGACTTCCTGTGCATACGGAATAGGCAGAGATAGGAAAATTTGCACTTTGCAGGGCTTAATACTGAGCCATCCTTGGAGACGGGCAGAGTCACAGTGAGATAGAGCAGTTGCAGAGTCTGCAACCACCACCACCCACAAATCCCAGTAAGATCCCTAGGACTAAGTTCAGGTCCCGAAGAGGAGCTTCTGAAAAGGTGCTGTGTGTTACATAGATAACCTCAGCTAGGAATGAATTCAACACCAGACCAAGATGTTTATTTAGGTTTTATTGGTCCTCACGGGATTTTCCTAGAGCTTCTCCACTTGGTGTTAGCCTAGATCACAATCCAGTGCTCAGAATTTAGAAGGAGGTGGCTAGAGTCATGGCTCCGAGGTTAAGAGAACTGCGTGTTCCTCCAGAGGACCTGGGTTTCATTCCCACTGCCTACTTGGCGGCTCACTTCTGTGTAACTTTGGTTCCAAGGAATCTGACGCCCTCTCCTGGCCTCTTCAAGTACTCCACATATGTGGTATATAAACACACACAAAAAAGTGGAGGAAAAGCTGGGTGTGGTGGCTTATGTCTCCTTGGGAGACTGAGGCAAGAGGAGTTAAGCAGAGGTGATAGCAGTCTGGGCTGCATAGTTTGAAGTCATTCCAGACTAGACGGCAAGACCCTTTTCTCAAAAACAAAACACACAAAAACCTATGTCACTGCCCAGCACTTAGTAGGTGAAAGCAAGAGGCTTAGGAGTTCAAGGTTATTCTCAGCTACCCTGTAAATTCAAGGCTAGCCTGGGCTTCATAAAACTCTGTCTCAAAAACTAAAGCTAACAACAATAACAAATGCTCTTGTGTTTTAAATTTTAAGATTTTTGTAAGGAAGCGTAATGGCTGGTAATAGCCACAGGCATTTTCATCCTGTGGGTTATGACTGGAGTGTTTGTAAACCACTTCACTTGGAAGTCTTTTCTAGGGAAATGAACACTGACAATTCTGCCCGGGAGTGCTTGTTTGGGTAGATAGAAAAGTTTCTGAAGATGAATTCAAAATAATTTAGCTTGCGACTGGTCTTGTTTCCATGTGGTTATTGTTGTGACCATGGTTGTCATGGTACTTGAGTGACATTGCCCTTGATCTCTTGGGACTCCTGTGAGCTGCTTGGCTTCTCACTGATTCTGGATTTCCTCTTCTGTCCCCTGTTGGATATCAGATGACATCTTTGGGACTGGCACCTAGTATTAAGAATAACAGGTGCAAGGGAACTTAGTCAGGCCCTGTCTGACACAAAGCACATTGGGCATGCTCATCTTCTGCACCAGCAAAGGACACAGGAGGTCACAGAGGACACAATGCTTTGTAGCTCTTTGCATATGTCTCCTAGAGACTAACTGCAGGCCTTGGTCCCTAAGATGAAGAAGGGTGAAGCGCTGCTGCAATAACAAGGGCATTTGCAAATGAGAACAGAATAATTTCAGAGACTAAAAATGTATCTTGTCTTATTACATGGCCCAATCTCAAATTATAGTAAAGTTCCATGTCTTTGGTCAGCTGCTAGTCACCATCTCTACGTTCATTGGTAGAGTGTAACCATGCTTTGTCACAGATGCCTAGATGTGGTCCATGTGAGTCCCAGGCTATATGTATCCTGGTGACCATCTTCTCTCCAACAGTGAATGTTTTTCTCTCCTTAGCCTACCGAGTGTCCCAAGAAAAACTAGGTGCTGAGATTTAGTTGGCTGAGTTTAACTCTAAAGATAGCTCTGATGATCACCTATGCTTGTCACCGTCCCTGGGGATTAGAGCTAGTGTGATCAGGCTCATTCTCCACAGGACACTCAGGAGCACTGGCCAAGCTGAGTGATGGACATAGGCTCTTGTTCATCCATTCAGCAAACATGCCTGCCAAGCTTGAATCACACTGCATGCCTAACTCAGTATTTGAGAATGCACAGGCAGACTTGAGTTTGGCACCTGGCTTTGATACTTCTAGGTGAATTCATGAAAATACACTGGCTCTTATTTCGGGGCTCTTATCTGCCAATGGGGCTAGCATTGGGGAGGGGAGTGGCAATATATTTTCACCTGTGACATTTTCCTGCTGTGAAAACCAAGAGAGACTATGATAGAACATCTAAATCATCCAGCACAGAGCCTGACAGCTGCTATGTAGCTGTAGGCCTAGATAAATGTCAGCTGTTCGTTAGTAGGATTGCCTAAGTGGATCAGAGATGGTTCTGGGGTTTGGAATATGGGAGCCAGATAAGTTATACTGCAGTATCTCTCATATGATAAAGGAGGCTGGGTCCTTCATTCTTTTTAACTGGTTTCTTTTTCTCTGTGAAACAACTTGTCGTTTCTTTTTCCTTCTTGAAAACCTAGTGAAACTTAATCATAGTTCCCTCCTCTCCATGCTTCCAGAAAGGTTTATTATGAAGGATGAAGGAAGCTAGGGGAGAGGGGAGAGAGAGAGAGAGAGAGAGAGAGAGAGAGAGAGAGAGAGAGAGAG